CCCCCTCTCCTTCCTCCTTTCTCCGAGTCTCCGAGTGAATGAAGCTTGAACATCAGTTGAAGAAGCCAGAACTTCCTTCTGCCACTTGACATCAGTGTTATGTGGAAAAAATCGTTCAATTATCAGAAATTAATAGGAAAATATCAGCAGAAGCCGAAGAGAACCCAGTGAGATCAGGTCTCAGAGAACTATAAGCCGTTTAAAAGATTTATGAATATCTCTAGCGTTGTAGATCTAATGCGCTACCGTATCCTTGAACATATCTCGAACTCCGTTCATTTGGTACGTGTTGATGTATGTACATGCAGAATAGTTTTCCACTGTTGACAGTGTAAATTACAAGTTTTTTAGATGTTTTTGAATAAACTACTTCGCGATGGTGACAACGAAGATCTCGCGGAAGAACGTCGAAAAGCTACTTTTGATACCGACGAAATGGCAGCAATAATCTGGGAAGGCAAGGAGGTTCGATTTGGTAATTTTCTAAATTGTCCTCATCGTTTAATTTTGCAGAGAATGAACGTCACCCCTTGTGTTCGCTTTGAGGCTATGCAGTTATTTCTTTCTTTCTTCTTCAAATCGTTTTTCCAGCTCAGAATTTGAACTTATTCTGATTGTCGAAAATTAATCCCCCCAAAGGAAAGCAGATCCCTATTTGTGGGGCTGTTAAATATGAGCAAGTTTCGAGAACCAATACCTTCCCATCGTCTCCGATTGAAACAAGCTTACTCACAGGTTGCTGAGGATGCTGAAGCTTTTTTGATGCTTGGTCTTTCTTGTAATAAAAGCTCGAATAGAAGAATCCAAATGCATCCAGTTTGCTAGCTGGTCAACCTTCCCATCCTAAGCGAGCCACTCCATCCCAGCTTCTACCGTTGCTAACGATGCTAATGCTTCAGAGAGTACGTCGACGAAGAGAAATCACCAAGAAAGTCATTGAATACACAGAACTTCACGATCCTTTCTGCCAGGCATTCATGACACGACATGAAGAAGTCGAAAATGCAGCAAGAAAAGTGAATTCAGTCGAGATATTGAAGTGTTCCCATTCCGAAATGCTGCATAACCTTTTCAGATAACAAAGATGTTTGGCTTGATAGACAAGCTTGGAGTGAACCCAACTAACGCGGCCGACATGGCTCACCTAACCAGGTATGTCTGACGCGACCTCTTCTACCGAGTTCAAATCCGCTAGAGCACCTCGAACAGGTCAAAAAAAAGAAAGAATGGGAAGACTAAGCTCCATAGCATTATTATTATTATTATTATTATTATTATTATTATTATTATCCCCCACTGTCTACTACAGTCAATTTCAATTCGAAGAAAGTCTTTGCCCTTCCTTTGGGAGTCATGCAGCCTCTACGCCCACAAGGGCGCTTAAACTTTTACCCGAAGACTAAAAGCCTTCTGCAATAACTACCTCATTTTTTCTAAAACTCACACTCAGTGTTTCAGTGAAGTCATCGGGATGTACGGGCATCCGCTGGCCTTACATGCTGTCATGTTTATTCCATCTCTTCAAGCTCAATGTGCTGATGACCAAATGCATTGGTTGAAGAAGGCAATGTCGAGGCAGATCATTGGGACCTATGCCCAAACCGAGTTAGGCCACGGTGAGAAGCATCGATCATCCTTGACATTTAGGGTTGGGCCCAAGTTTTGAGACTTATTTGAGTCACGTTGTAACACCTCGAGCACTTTCGCTGGCTATTTATGAAAGAATGAATTCGCAAGCACGATTCTTTCACTTTTTTTACTGATATACCGCAAATTTTATAATTATTCTTCTACTTGTATGTATGTATGGAAATATGAATGTTTGCCTGAGCTGAAATGTTCTAGTGGTAAGGGAACACTGCCATAAGCGCATGAACAGGGGTTCGGATCCCGAGTACCATTCGCTAAACTCAATCAAGCCTTCGATTCATCCAAGAACGGTTAATTAAAATTTTGAAAGTAAATTGAAAATTTACGTAATTAGAATTTACGGGCTGTTAAAAATCGCCGTAATTGTAGCCTTTCACAAACTGTCAAAGATGACCTATAATCTTATAAAAGCGAACCTCCCGGAATCCTTTGGTTATCAAACATAATCAAAACGTAAATGCGACCCAAACGACCATTAATAGGCTATCGCTTTTTTCCAACCCACTTCGTCGGCATCTTCAAAAATAATGATGAGATGCTCCCCCCGGCATAGTCTTTGGCCTGCACCCACTCTTGGTCTAAAATAAATCCGAAACCCGTAAATATATTGAACATTCCGATAAAGAGCGAAGGAGTCACGAGAACGTGTACTTCAACCCGATACCTAAATGGTAAACATAAACACCTGCGCATAAAAAGAGACAACCACCTCTGAGGGTTTCATGGCAAAGCATGTGCACTCCTAAAATAAATTTTATTATATCATTTTGACCTGAAGACTGTTTCTTTGTAATATAAGAGCTTCAGAGAGCTTCAGGTACGAATCTGAGAAAATTGGAAACAACAGCCACATACGATGTAAAAACACAGGAGTTCGTCCTGCACAGTCCTACACGTACAGCGATGAAATGGTACGTTTTGTGGGCTCCGACTTATAGTAAAACGAATGAAGGTAGCCATAGGAATAAACCCCTGTGGGACGTGAACCAGCAATTTAATGGAAAAAGCATATGTGAGACACCCTCAGCCGCCTTAAGGCGCTCTACGCATCTTCAGAGGATTGTACCAAGAGACAGTTTGAGTAATAGACTGAGACTGGAAATTTACTCGAAACTTAGGCAGGTAGAAGCGCTTCAATCACTTTCTCTCACTTTTTTATATTTATATTGTTGTTTTATATTGTTTTTTATCGGAATTCTTCTAAGGTGGCCTGGAAATCTCGGCAAAAGTGCAAATCATGCCGTTGTAGTCGCTTGCCTCATAATTGACGGCAAAAATTATGGCCCACATAACTTCATTGTGCCTCTAAGAGATCCTGCGACTCACATGCCTTTGAAAGGTAGACCTAACTCGATTTATTTGAACCTCATTACCTCTAACTATATGAATTACATAGTATAGGCATCACAGTCGGTGACATTGGCCCGAAAATGGCCACCGGTCCCGTTGACAATGGATTCCTCAGCTTTGATCACTACCGAATTCCAAGGACCAACATGCTTATGAAACATGCCAAAGTGAGTCTGTTCACTCCAGCTTATTTGATTCGTTTAATTCTGAGTTTTGAATTGGAAAGACAAACATCTGCATTTCTTTCCTTTTTTGTTCGTTCAACACAGAAGTTGTGGCCTTGTAGGCACGGTCTACAACAACTTTACCCAAGTCAATGTCTTTTTTCAGTTGGGTTTAGTTGAGTAAACTGTCAGTAGATTGGTTCAGGTAACGCCAGAGGGCAAGTACGTTCCTCCGGCTCACGCCAAAGTTGGCTACTCAGCAATGGTGCACGTCCGCTCTCATATGATTTCCGACCAAGCAAAGTTTCTTGCCCAAGCTCTTACCACCGCCATTCGGTATTCAGCAATTCGACGACAGGGAGAGATTCAACCTGGGTAAGTACTACCTCGAATATCTGCTACTACCGTAGCAAGTAATATCATGCTTTCAATGACTTACACATGAATTCTTAGCCGCTTTAAACCTCATGAGACTTCTCATTTTGTAAAGTGNACCAAGCAAAGTTTCTTGCCCAAGCTCTTACCACCGCCATTCGGTATTCAGCAATTCGACGACAGGGAGAGATTCAACCTGGGTAAGTACTACCTCCAATAGCTGATACCATCTTAAGAGGCTCTATTATGATCTCAATGCCTCACTCATCAATTGTTAGCCGCTTCAAGGCTGACGGAAACTTCTTATTTTTTGTAGCAGGGCTTAAGCTCTGATAGATTTTGATTGCTCATGCTTCAGAGATGGCGAAGTGAAGATTCTCGAATACCAGACCCAACAATATCGGTTGCTTCCACAACTAGCACGAGCGTATGCGTTCAGTTTCACTGGACGAGCAGTCAGAGACCTATATCTGAGGGTACAGAAAGATGTCGCCAAAGGAAAAGTGGGTGATCACTTCTGGCTTCTATTTCAGTAGTCCACTATGTAGGAACACCTCAAATCGGACAGGGTCCAGGTCCTAACCTTTGGATTTTACTGTCACTGCATTTATTAGGCTGGAGCTAAACTCTTTCCCACGTTTACGCAACATCCCACCTCAAACCATCGTGGCATCACCCATAACATTCCTTCCAATGTAGTCAGTCTGTTGGTACCAAACTGGATGGGGTCAACGGCCTTGTCTTTGACAAAAGCTAATCCCCTGAAAACCCTCCCCTCCCCTATCAGTCATCGAACTCACTCTGCAAGTGAGAAGCACGCAGATAAGGCCCCCCCCCCTGTTTTTCGAAGAACCTAGGTTTTGCCAAGAGACCCTCTGTTAAGGTCGACGAAATGGCCGAACTGCACTACATAACTTCCGGTCTCAAGGCTGTCGTCACCCACTTGACTGGTGAGGGCATCAGCCAAGCGCGTATGAGTTGTGGAGGCCATGGATACTCGAAAGCTAGCAATATGCCGGATCTCTATGGCAAGTGAGAACAGTATTCAACATTTTCTCTGGATACAAACTGTTTTTTGTCTGTAGGCATTGCCGTCGCCGGCTGTACGTATGAGGGAGAAAACATGGTAATGCTCCAACAACTGGCAAGGTTGGTTTCCCATTCGTATAGCTTAGCATGGCTATAGCGTGCTTTTCTTTTTTTTTGGTCACTGGCATATAGGCCAGCGACACCCTAACAGTAACATCGAGAACGAGTATTTCATGTTCCACCCAAAACTTTCTGGGATCATTCCCATCATAGAACAAATGCTAGTGCTCTCACAATACTACAAAGGTTGGAATTGTATTAGTGACACTTTTGTGAATAAGAAAAGCTCAGAGACTGTACCTCGCGATGTTGGTCATCATTACCGGAGCAGAGCCCTATATGATAGTGAGATGTCTTTTTCTACAGGTACCTCATGAGAGCAGCAAAAGAAGCAGAAAAAGGACGTGCCCTCGGCAGACTTGTGAACTACCTCGTGGAACCCAGCGACATCCATTCAAGTATAGATCGCCAGCTTGACTACGGTACCTCTTGATATTTTTTATGGCTGACAACTAGGTGGCTACCAGTTTCGAAGTCCTCGAATACAGTACTGGGATTAGATAGCGGGAACGCGATTGCTAACTTACCTTTTTTAGCAACCTTGTTTAGCAAGCTTGAACTTTCCAAACCTTTCCAGCGATCAGCGTCCGCCTTTTTTGTAAGGAAATGCCTTTACTAGGAAATAGGGTTGTTTCTCCTCCACCACCCCTCGCCCAATTCCTTCCCACGGCGGTAATTCACTTTAGGGAGTCCTACAGCTCGATGACTTGTTCTGCACGGCCAAAGTTAATCGTCTAGTGTTTGGCCATGAGTTGGTCGATGTCCTTTGGAAATTTTGTTGAGGAACTCTTGAAAATGTCTTTTCAGATTACAAAGCCCATCTGAAAGCCTTCGATAAGGCAGCAAAGCTCCAAGTGATGAAGGCATTCGAAAGGATGCGATCACTTCGAGCTCAAGGGCTGTCTGACGAGGATGCATGGAACGCCAATGCCGTTGAACTGAACCGAGTAAATAGTAGTTTCGTTCATTTTCACGATTTGTGATTAATAGTAATAATTAGTTTCTGTACGTCTCGGTACTATAAGTGTCATGCTCCTTATGACTGCAGGCAGCTCGAGTCCACACAAGGCAGTACATCGCTCATCAATTTTATGAGCAAGTAAGTTCGGTCGCTGACGGACGATGTCGTGAAGTACTTCGTGATCTCCTTCATCTTCATCTCAACTATGAACTCTTGGATATGGCATACTACTTACTCGAAGTATTACTGTAGTCGTTTATACTTCTTTTCTTCACTTCCAACTGTTCCCTGTCCAGGATGGCTTCTTGTCGGGTCAGCAGGTGGATTACATGAAGGAAGATATGTACCGACTTCTGGCAAAGCTGCGGCCGAATGCAGTCTCTCTGGTGGATTCCTGGGATATCTCTGATCATGAACTCAGATCGGTAAGTACAGACTCTTGAGAGCCACTGTCAAGGCTTCTGCCATCGCTGGGTATTCTTAGCAGGGGTCAAATGAGTAACGCAGTTCTGGCACCTTGGGAACAAAAGCTATCACAATTGTGGGAATCTCGTCCGAAAATTCAAAGCTTTCGATTCAATTCGAATTGCGTCGTGCAAGCTATCTTCGGTGTTAGGGAAATCCAGCAGAATTCCTCGTAGGGGCTGATGTTCTATACGTTCTGATGCAGGTATTGGGCAGGCGAGACGGTCATGTCTACGAGAACTTGTACAAATGGGCACAGGAAAGCGAATTGAATCGGACTCAGGTAAAGTCTAAATCATTTCTCACAAGCTTGTCAGCTTTGGTTTAATTAGATGTCAACTTATTAGATTGGAAACTTAGGTTGCTCAAGCCTGTACACCTTCGACCCATCGTAATTTCGAGAAAGCCCACCTCAACCCGTTGGCTGCCAAAGTATTACAGCAATCATCTATTAAATTCCGATTTCAGGTGCTACCAACATTTGAGAAGTACCTCAAACCAATGATGATGGAAGCCCGTGCTCAGAGCAAATTGTAACCTCTCGGTGCTAAAGACCTTTAGACCTTTCACGATGATCATCTTAGGCTATGAATTCTGCCATGGAACGATACCTGCATTATCTTGAGCATTTCAACTTTCCTTGTATTTTGTCAAATTAATAAATATTGATAATTACTTGAAAATGAAACCTGACCGAAGTGAATTTTACTGGGCATGAAACATCTTCAGCTGCAATTATACCTGCAGTTTGAGAGTCTTGTCGATAGCCATTCTTTCTGGACAGACTTGAGGGCCGGTCGCTCCAGTATTCCCCAGATGGTTCCCATTGCAAACGATCAATCACTAATCCGACAGATCAGTCTCGATAGACAGATACAAGAAGAAGTAAAAAATAATCAAAAGCACTGCTATGAAAATATTGCCAAGAATTTCCCCTGGGATGAACCTGTGGCTCCCAAGGATGACAGTGGGACATTGTCGAGTCGAAAAACATCTCGGCAGGACTCCAAACCTGGCTTGGCCGACGTAAACACTTGAAAGTTGCCGTGCTATGGCGTCCTTGCTAGGGCTGTACCATTCACAGCGAAGCTTTGGAACGCCGATAAATACCACGCCTATGTGGGAGACATCAGACGGTCACAGGCACACACCTCGTGTCTCGTAAATATCCCTTTCTCACTAGTTGTTCGAAGTCTTTCATCGCAAAAATTCAACTGTTTCAGCGCCTTCTTGTCGCCATTACACCTTTTCGCCGTTTTGCAGTATTCTGTCATGAACGGTGCCTCAAATTCTCTAATAAAGGCAAAAACAAAAAAAGCAAATGGATTTCTGAGGAGAGTTCAAGACAAATCAGACAAGGTCAACAGTAAACAAAACCCAACCAACCTTATTTCAGCGATTCGGGCAATGCCCATTGTACTTCGAAGACCACACGGTGGCACTCCCACTTCCTGATAGACTACAGTAACATATTTGTCAGCATTTTCATTTCGATCTGATGGAGTTTTTTCAACGATACTTTACAACGATTTTGAAAGATAGCACGAAACAAGGGGAAATCTGTTACGAGTAATTACTCTTTATTATTATCGCTTATTTAGAGGTATTGATCTGAAAAAGTACTTTACAAGCTATTCGAATGCTACGCAATAAATTCTGACAATATCGAATATGGATTTTGTTTACAGCTTGCTTTGCTCCCTAGCTTGCTTCATCATTGGTTTGAGGTACTTCTCGAATGTTGGTAGTACCTGGAAAGAAAGGGATCATTATAATTACCCTTGGAATGAATCTTAGCCCAATGCTCCAGCTCTGAATCACTCGGCAGTTTGGATGTTTTGAAGCGTGAGGAAGTGTCCGAAATCAACGACAACAGATTTAATAACTATCAGATTTAACAACATTACAACCAAAAAAGGCTGTGGAAACTACAGTAAGACAAACTATGTAAACCCTTGAAGGCCATCAAACCATTTTTGATCAGCGATGATTTCCTCGCAAAGACCAAACTCTCTGCATTAACTGATTAGACTGTACATGAGATTTGAAGAGCCAGTAACACTACGGCTTTCTATCAGAAGCATGGCGCACACCAAAAAGCTTCGTAATGATTGTAATTGTAAATTACGTGTCGCCCTACTTTCAAGCGTCATAGCCAGCCTAAAACTGACCTGTGTTCGGTTGAGTTCGCTTTCCTGCGCCCATTTGTACAAATTTTCATAGACATGGCCGTCTCGTCGTCCCAGTACCTGCAAAGCAGATATTTTGCATACCGCTAGGTTTGCTTAAGCTTTATAAAAAAGAACACCCTCAGGATTACCTTATCCGCCCCAATATATTTCCTGTACAGACTCCTGTTAAACATTACCTACGAAAGACCCACTTCGAAATCGGAATTTTACAGGTTTGCAACAGCCCGAGGTTCGAGCATTAAATAGAGCCCGTAGATACGGGAGAAGATGAACCCATGAAGAATGTAATTGTGTCTTGGCCAAACACTCACGTCGGAAAACGACAAAATCTCCAGTTTATGCCGAAATTTTCTCCTTTATTGCTAATAACGATCAAAAAAAGCTTCAGTATGTAAAGAAGTAATCTATTAAAGGCACAGCACACGATAATTTAGGGGTATCCAGTTTTTGACGGGAAATGATAGCTACGGCCTAGAGTAGTACAAAGGATAAACAGAAATCGCGATAAACGACGAATAAAAGAAATACAAAGGGTCACAGAAGAAGTAAAAAGGGGGGTTGGACGAGTTACACAGCCGAAAACCGCGGTTAAAGGNAGTGTTCGGGCGAGTCAGACGAACGCGACGCAGTGTCTGCAATTGCACACAACACACGCAAATAGCTGATTTTGCAACAAAATCTACATGCCCGTCCCTGGCAAATTGCCAATCAGCTTATCGAGCGTTCACTAATGTTGCTCCAATGCGAGAGTGGTGAACGGCAATTAGATTCGGTAGTCAGCCTAGCGAGGGGCGGAGGGGCCTCTCGTCCCCCACTTTAAGGACCCTTATTGTGCCCTATCCAGAACGTTTTATGACCTCATCTCGGCACATATGGTACCAGAGGGGGGCCCGAATTCATACCATGTAAAAATCTCCGAAACCATTTTTATCATGAACTGTGCCTTTAAGGTCATGCAGAGAAATTTTATTGCTGGAGATGGAGATAGAACAATTGATTCTCGGTATCCTTACCGATCTAAGTTCATGATCTGAGAAATCCCAAGAATCCACGAGTGACACAATGTTTGGGCGTAATCTAGCAAGAAGTCGGTACATGTCTTCTTTCATGTAGTCCATTTGTTGGCCTGATAAGTAGCCATCCTAAATCAGAACTGGTCAGCCAATTTTACAGTAACAGTGCAACGTGCAATTACTTCGAGTAAATAGTACGCCATATCAAGCAATTCATAGTTGAGGTGGAGATGAAGCAGATCCAAAAGCACTTCCCGACAAGGTCCGTGAACGACTGCCTTCACATGCTCATCGAACGTCCGAGCAATATACTGCCGGGTGTGAACTCGGGCGGCCTAAATAATTACTAGTACGCTCTATAAGATTTTTGTTGAGTTAAAGGGAAGACTCACCCGGTTAAGTTCCACAGCATTCGCGTTCCATGCTTCTTCTTCTGAGAGACCCTGAGCTCTGAGTGATTGCATCCTTTCGTAGGCTTTCATTACTTGCAGTTTGGCTGCCTTGTCAAACGCCTTCAGATGAGCCGCATAATCTGCAATATCATTCATGAAGGGCCAAGTCCGCATCTTTGATACATTTCGTCGAAGGCACCTCTACTTCAAAGCGTCACCTCGTTCTCGTAGATTAATTTGAAAATTAGCCTGCCCCAATCTGGAAGTAGGGCTATACAAGCATGCAGGTATATCTGCACCCGACTACTGAAATCAACCATAACAAACTTCAAATTTCTAATGGGCTAGGTACAGGTTCTCGGGGGATAAACTGGTCAGCACTAATTACTCAAGAACCTACATACCAGTAGACCCGGCCACCTCATTTCTGCAGGAGCGTGGACTTCCCTGAAGCGTATCGAGAACGAGCAACAGAAATTCAAATTGGGTCAAATTGTAGAGAATACGCACCCACTACACCACTACGATTCTGAATGGAAGTCGAATGGGCGCATCCCTCATACGGGATTGATTAACGCTCTGAGACTTTATTCTTTAACTACGTTGCAAATAGCCAATTCCTTGCTCGATCTCCTAACACCCCTTGAAATCTCTTTACAGACATATGTACTTCATGTCTGTACAAACATACTTCTAGATAATTTACAAAGAAATTTGGGCACTTGAAAACTTCACTACAATGATGGCTATTGGGCTCTCAATTGTTCAAGTCGAATAACCAAATGTTAGGTACCGTGATCCGGTTGTCGATCAATTGCCGAACGCTGCTCACTGGACCTCACAAGGTAATCAACAAGCTTCCCAACGGCTCGTCCATTTTTAGCGGCCTCTGCGGATTTAATGAGGTACCTAAAGAACTTACTTGAGTTGTAGTTCAGTGTTTCTGAAACTCATAATTGATCAGAGAGGTAATTAGGAACCTAGCCAATTGTTGGAGCATGACCATATTCTCTCCTTCATATGTAGCACCGCCAATGGCCACACCTGAATAGTAATCACTACCTTTCTGAGAAGGTCATAACTTCAAATCCCAAGGATGAAAAGGGCGTGGCTGCAGGTTCACAATTACGTCGGTTGTTGCTGGGCACCGCGTTTGATTTCATGGGTCATGGACCCGGTGAGAGCGCGCTCACGACGGAATGTCGCGAAATTTGCTGGTTGACTCACAACTCCTGCCTAACAACTTCGGTATGGAAAAAAAAGATTCCTAGTCTGCCAACGGAGCTGGGATCCAGCAGCCACCCCTCTCCATCATCGGGAACTGGAGCGCTCTTGGTCACTTACTATAAAGTTCCGACATGTTGGAAGCCTTCGAGTATCCATGGCCGCCACAACTCATACGGGCTTGTTCGATGCCTTGACCGGTCAGATACGTGACGACCGCTTTGAGGCCTGAGCTGATGTAGTGAAGCTCAGCCATTTCGTCGACCTGGAATTAGCGATAAAGGATAAAGGATAAAGTTTTGGCGTTAATCAATCCCGTCTGAGGGATGCGCCCCCGCACTCGACTTCCATTCAGGATCGTAGTGGCGTAATGAGTGCGTATGTGGCCTATACAATGACTTGCGGTGGCCAGCCGATGTACAAGACAGAGGTTTTATCCTCCCAGACGAGTCTGGTACCCATTCACCGACCCCGGAGGGATGGAAGGCTTGGTTGGCCTAGGCGGGCATCGAGCCGGAATTCGAGCCCCTGACCGTGCGTGTGATGTAGTGCGCCACTTGCCACTACACCACCTCCGCCCATTGGAATTAGCGATATTTCGATAAATTGGCCAATATGTAAGGCTCAACATGCCCACCTTTCCTCGGGCAACATCTTTCTGGACCCGTTGCAAGATGAGCCTCACGGCCTGTCCGGTGAAAACGAACGCATATGCACGAGCCAGTTGTGGAAATAATCGATGCTGCTGGGTTTGATACTCCAGAATCTTCACTTCTCCTTTCCTGGAAACAAGTTGGGCCAATTTTTCTCGAAAACACCTAAAAATCAAGTCCAGATCCACTTTCTATTCGATTTTGGCTAAGATTTCAGAAGCCGTGGCCACTTAGCTTCCTATGGTAGTTCAAACTTGCTTTCCTCTACAACCCACCACTTCAAAGTTTGACTTCACTACTTGCCTGAAGTGATAGGCTGCAGTTTCAGTCGGCACGCTCCATGGAGAAACACCTATCTACTAGCTAACCCTAGTCGACTAGTCGGCTAACTAAAACGTGGCACGGGAACAACTAGCCAGGAATCGGACCTGGCGTGTAGTGAGACAACTATCTAGGAGTCAGACATGGCGCGCGTTGAAACAACTAGCCAGGAATCAACACAGCGCAATGTGAGACAACTAGCTAGAAATCGCGTGCGAATGCTTCCGGTGAGTAGTGGTAGTGGGCATGGTGAGTTTTCTAGATGTCTAATTGTCTAATTTAATCGTTACAAAAGGATCAAAATACCCTCGCATACCCTCGATCTTACCGTACCCGGGTTGAATTTCTCCTTGTCGCCGTATTGCTGAGTACCGTATAGCAGTGGTGAGTGCTTGAGCCAGAAACTGTGCCTGTGTTGATATCATGTGAGCACGAACGTGAACCATGGCTGAGTAGCCGACTTTAGCGTGAGTCGGAGGGACGTACTTGCCTTCGGGGGTTACCTGAACCAATCAATATCTATCCAATGCGTGCCGTGCAGACTGGAATCTAAAGAAACCAACCTTGACATGCTTCATAAGCATATTATTCCTAGGAATTCGATAATGATCAAAAGCAAGAAAACCGTTGTCCACTCCATTAAAAGCCATTTTTGGACCGATGTCACCGATGGTAATCCCTCAAATACAGAAGGAAAGTTCCGGACAATTTTTTCGTTACCTTTTACTTTCTATTTTTCAGGCCTATTAGCGAAATGGTCTCACCTCTGAAGGGCATATGAGTTTCAGCATCTCTCAGTGGTACCACGAAGTTGTGAGGACCATAATTCCGCCCATCGATGATAAGATTGGCGACTACGACAGCATGGTTGGCGCTTTTGCCAAGATTTCCTGGCCACCTGGACAGAACATGGGGTTAGGTGAGAAGAGGAAGTTCTCAATGTTATCGCTGGGATAACAGTCGCACAACGAGTAAGTAGGTTTAGCTCATAAGTAATATGGTAAATGGGGCAAAAGCATAACTCAAGCTTAATAGCCGAACACCACCAGCTTCTACAAAGATTGTTGACTGGATATCTAAGCGCGAGCTTGAGTACCAGCCTGTTTCATAAGGAACGATTTCTCCTGAACAGAATGGATTTCTTCCTGTCTCAATCATGAAACGCTGACCCGGGTGTCACTGACCGGTACGTCGATATCCCAACCCAAGAAGAGCTACAGCACCAATGGTTAGAGCTGTTGGGAGGAAAGAAGCGTCACATTTACTGTTTGTCTCCCTTTACAAGAGGACTAGGACAAATCTATCCAAAGAGTAGAGGCTACAAAGAAGGCCCCAGGCTCGACTTCTTCTCAATAGGAACATGGTGTATACTGACTGACAAGATGGTAAGCATGGCCAAGATCAGGTACATATTTTAGGTTCACGTCGTGGAGTGGGGTTTTCCTGGTCTACGCCTTTGGCGATTTGTAGCAAATCCAATTTAGAAATCATGCTTACACTTACCATTTCATTGATGTTCGTGTAGGGCTGTGCAGCACGAACTCCTGCGTTTTCGGATCATAAGTCGCCGTTGTTTCCAGTTTCTTGAGATTTGTCCCTAAATCTCATAGGTCAATGGCTAGACAATATTTTAAAAATGAAATCGAAATTGCTGAAATCAGGTATCGAATTTCATTGTTGAATTCGTACCATGTCCAAGTTCTGTTTGAGCATAGGTTCCAATGATTTGCATAGTCATCGCTTTCTCCAGCCAATGCATTTGATCGTCAGCACATTGAGCTTGAAGTGTGGGTATGAACATGATCCCATGAAGCGCTAGCGGATAACCCGATATTCCGATGACTTCACTGAAACATATTTTAAAATCAANNNNGCACACTGAGCTTGAAGTGTGGGTATGAACATGATCCCATGAAGCGCTAGCGGATAGCCCGATATTCCGATGACTTCACTGAAACATATTTTAAAATCAAGGACCTACCTGGGCTTCATTACAAAGCTATTTCGATATCAGGATTTTTGATAGATCCATGACTCTAGGAGGGAAGGTGGTCTAGTGCCTAGTGACGAAGGACTTTTACACACGATTCTTAGATGTAACCTGGACCGATTCTTGCCTAGGCTAGCCGAGCCTCACAACTTGAATTGTGCCAGACTTCTCTAGCAGGATAGAAGCACTGACTTAACATCCACCGACCACCAGAAAAACGATCGAAACCACTAACTTGGTTAAATGGTACATCTCGATCTCATCCATCGGATTGGCATCAAGTTTGTCCAAATTTCTAAGCATGCCGGTCACCTGTAATTCTGATAAAAGCTGACACTCTCTCGAAAAATGTCACAAAATACTAAGAAAAGGAATATTGAGCTCATAAGTTGTTACCAGTAGGACTTTGAGCCTCACTGTAATACATACCTTTCTAGCTGCATGTTCCATGATTTCTGAACGCGTCATATACGCTTGACTATAAGGGTCATGTAGTTCTGGGTGTTCAGCTACCCTCTTGGTGATTTCACGTCGGCGACTCAGAATCTTTAACAGTTCAATATGAGTAGTGAAGCTGTTATTTACGATTTATATTTGAGTTTCTTCAAGTTTCTAAATGTCAGCCGCATGCATGGTGCGATCTAGAGGCCCCTTCCTCTGATCTGCAGAATTTTAGCCCATGACTTCAACAACTTCTGTCGTAACTTAACTGTGAGCGCTACNTCTCCAATCGATATTGATCAGTATTGATCTATCGTGACTGAGAGAGGCATCATGGCCTCCTCTACGTAAGTCCCCAATTGTCAAATTCATAGGCTTATGAAAGGTAGATAAATTTCGCTGCAAAACCATCGAGCAATCCACTTTTTTTGCGAAAATGTACTTTTAAGGAGGTGTCTCACATCGGTCTCAGCTGGGAGGGACAGCTCAAGTCAAAATCTCAAAATCCGAAGTCAAAGTCAACTCAGCTCATAGACCATCAATTTCTATCGAGCATAGGAAAGAATTTGCTAGTATAGGAGTAAATATGTAGCAAACGGTCATTTTCAGAATATTTCATAAAGTTCGTTTCTAATGAAAATGGACATAACTGACTTTCTTGTTTCCCCAGATGATTGCGGCCATTTCATCAGTATCGAACGTGGCTGTTCGACGTTCTTCTGCCAGATCCTCATGATCACCCTCACGAAGGAGTCTGTTTAATGGCATCTGAAAACGGCGTTAAGAGCTGATTGCTGTGCTGACGGAAAACTTCGTGGAAATGGAACCTGAATATCAGGAGAAAGAGGTAGAGGAAAAGAGGTGAAGCGATTGGTTTCTGACCAGGAGCAGGCAATCACCTATAGGCTTCTCTATTTAACTACAAATTTCCCGCATCGATTTTATTGAGTGATAAGCTCGTAGCAATCCACCTCCCCAGGTACTATACGATGTTGCTGAGAATAACCTTGAAAATTATTTGTAGAATGGTCTGTTTGTAAACATCACAGAAGAGAATTGAATAGAGCCTTTAACCCAAAGAGAGCGTGATAAATGTAGCTCTTTTGCCCTGACGACATTGTGACAGAGGTGAAGGTTAAAGTCTTTGACGTTAATTTCCATCGAGATTCTGGAATGCGTCCCACACTGAACTTCGACTAAGAGCTGCTGTAGAGATTTGAATGCGTATATGGCTTATACAATGATTTGTCACAATGAAATCAGGACCTCTATCCTCCCGAACTATACTGGTACCAACTAATCAAGCCCCGAGAGATAAACCGCTTGGTCTGCCTGGGCAGGTATCGCTTCACTATTGTTACCTACTTGCATAACCTTCATTTAGCTACTCAAAATACGAAAAATGGGCTGATACCTCGAGGGTGAGATATGATGATGACCAAACTCAACCCAAACCACTACCACTGCATGTCTCCAAGTACAATCAGAGACCACCTGATACGTGCACTGCTGAATGCGTGCGAGTAGTGGGATGATAAGAGCTCCTTGTATTTTGCAAACGGGTGATTAGGAAATAAACCTTATCGTCACATCCCTTTTTACTGCCAGCAGTTTTCATTTTAAATTGAAAGAGTATACTATTTTGAGTC